TATTTTCTGGGTGTGGTCATTGAGTAGACTTAACACTGCTGAATCTCACTGAAACATTTAAGTTGTATCTGATTATTAGTTATAAATATATATGTCATACAGTCAATATAGTACATATAGTATTGACATTAGGAATATTATAAAACACTGATATTTTACAGTCTATCTGCCATTTACATAGAAACACATTTAACATTGATTTTAATTAAGTGCAATTCCAGCAATATGTTTAATCAGTTGTTAATACAAAAAGTATATTTGTATTCTAGAATGTGAAGTTAGTTGAATCCAATTTTATAAAAGATAACAATGAAATAAGTAACTTTCTAAACATAGCAGCATAACCTTCAGAAGATTTGTAATATTTTCTCAGAAACTTTAACTCTGAGATTGATTAGTATGTGGGTTTCATATTTAATTAAATATAAAATGATGCAATAATTCTAATATCGTAGTAGAAGTAGCATGATAGATCTTCCTTTTAAATAAAAATTATTCTGACATAGTATGCCTAAAGACTCATGATAATATACCAGCAACTTTAATTATTTATAAAATTATCAAGAAATGTAACCTTTGCTGTCAAAATTAATAGAACAATCAATGGAATATTGAACTATTGGAAACTAGAGGTTAAGTAACATGGGATTAATGTATTTTTTGCCTATTGAATGTTTAAAGAATATCAAGGAATGAATAAATATTTATATTATTATTGTTTTTCTTTGAGAATTCTTTCTATTAACAAAATCACACAGCACTTTAGCTGAGTAATTAGGTAATGGGATCAAAAGGAAAGAGGAAAACTCCAGTACTTCAGAGTAGCAATGCAGAAATGTAAAGGAATGAAGAAAAGATGCAAGCTATAATCTATAAAATTTAAGGAACAAGGTGTGTAAAAGGGAGAACTTTTCTTAACTCAGAAGGAATTCTTCGAGGAGGAGAAAAGATTTGTTCTGCTGAGAGGTTAATATTGGAAATAAACTACTAAACTGAAAAAGCGTAGCAGTTGTGTTGGACAAACTTCCTGAGAAAAATGTAATTGAATGCAAATTGTATAATACAAATGTGCAAATTGTATTTTTTTAAATACATCCTATACTTTTCCTACTGTAATAAGATTGCCCCAGAATGCTCTCCAAGACAACTTTTGATTCTTAGTGGAAAAATGGTTTTTAAGATGTAAGCTTATTTACTACAACGCATGCTCTTTTTCCAGTGAATTATTTTAAGATCTGCTCAATGAGTTGGGGGAAAAAATCCAGATGTTAAAATATCCTTGCTGTGGTAAGCTTAACAATAGTGCTGATATGAAGGTCAAGACCACGTTGGATTTTTTTTTTCAAAATAAACAAAACACTTTCTATCATGAAGTGTTTGGCTTGCTGGTAAACAAAAATTTACCAAAACTAATTTGACTACTACATACAATGTAGGCTTGACCATGATCTTGGCTCACAGACTGCTTAATAATATTCATTATTTTAAATTAAAGTTGAAGTATTGCAGACTCTTGCTCAAATTAAGATTGGTTGTGTTGCCGGAATCTGGTAATTACTTTAATTGATCACCAGATAGTTTCCTTGATCACCAATTACACCCAATTACTGATTATGTTTCAAGACGTGAAGAAATGTCCAAACTGATTATGTAATAATGTTTTCATATATAATCAATCCTAAATAGCTTTTTCCCCATTCCCAATTGTATTTTATAAAAAAAGAAGGTTATAAGCCTACAGATACAAAAGGTGATCCATAAACAATAAAGTTCTGATTTCATTTAATTAGCAAGGGAAGTATTTAGAAGGCTTAATGGAGATTGCTCTGCCAAAATTGCTTCAACAGACCTGCTTTTCATTTTCTTGGTAAAAAATATGTGTAAGGGGGAGACAGCTGTACAGATTTAAAATGGACTATAAAGGTATGAGTCTCTTAGATGTACAGATAAACCTGACTGCAGCAAGGTAAATTTGTACACTGTTAGAAAAATAATTCTACAAGACCCATAAAATATTTTAAAATGTCATAGAACCTTTGAACAAGAATTCCTTCAAAAACTGTTGTGGTTAATAAATTGAGTGACATTAATAGTTTCATTTAATGTGATTAACTTTTTTATAAGCTTGCATTCAATGATCTATAAAATTAAATATCCAAACTCAAGGATAATCAAACTCTTAATACTAAAAAAGCCAAGGTATTCCACTTGTTATGTTACTACCGTTTAACCTTTGATTTGTTTATAGTGATTTACATCAACAATTTCCATTTTTTTTGAGGACCATAATATGATCTAGGATTAGCAACATGGGTCTGTGGACAGCATGACATGCATGACTTTCTCAGAGCAATAGTGGTATCTAATCATAGGAGTGAAAAAAGTAAGTAGCTCAAAACTTTCAAGATCTTGCAGGTTTTTTTGGGCATTCTTATCCAAAATTTCATAAGAGACCAGTTGGAACCCCAAAACCTAGGGAGATTTAATAATCCCATTATATTTTTGTTCTTTATTACTTTTGGATGCCTATACTAGAAGCTAACTGTGTTGCCTTTGTTGATCACTCTGAATTAAATGTACCATTATTGGTCTTTCAAATAAAGCTTTCCTTTTGTGTAACTCTAATTGGTAGGTGAAGCACTTCCTTCACCAGCATGGCTAGATACTCAAAGAGATGTCCATATTAAAGTAAACAAAGTAAATGTATTTGTTTGATAGATCGATTGACAGAAAGACAGACAGACAAAAATAAACTAAGTAAATGGGAATCTATACTATATCTATATATCTATATCTATATCTATCCTCAGCAATACCAGTGGAGATCTTTAAGGCAGAAGAATATTGATTAATCCTCCCTGGACAGGAACTAAAGGTGCATTGTCTTCAGTCCAAAAAGCATTGGGGGGAAGAAAAGGATTTAACTTGTATTGTTGTTGGCAGTATCTTTCCAGTGTCTCAAGCAGATATAATTTTTTATCACTAGCTGCCTAATCATTTTGCACATAAATCCCAGGGTTAAGCAAGATTTAGATTTGGTCGGCAGATTATATTTGTTGCTGACTGTAGCAAACATTGATATAATTCCAGTAGAGATTATTCCCAAATTTTATATTTTCAAACATATTTTTTATTCTGGGAAAACAGATAGATGTGTATTCTATTACACTATGTAATGTTTGCACCATAATTATCATTTTAAGGGGCATTAGTAATGTTTTAAGGATTGAATTAAATATTGATTCAATGGACAAGTTTCATCGTTGAAAGTCAGGGGTAGGTAGTTAAATGGCAGGAATGGAGGAAAAACAGACTCCATATTGTGACCAGTCATGTGATCAATCTCTGTTTATAGAATTTGAATGGAGAAAAAAAGTTTTATACCCACACCCGTAAGGATTTAATGGTATTGCTCAAATGTTAGAACGTTTTCAAGTCCAAGTTAAAGGAAAAGGCCCTCAAATCAAGAACGAGGTTTCATGGACACATTTATAGTTATAGTTATGGTTTGTAGTTGCAATTTACTGTTGTCAACCTCTGTGCTGGTTGGTTAGTTTTTTTCCCAACTATTACAGTTGTGGATTTTCTTGGTGATCTCTTCAGTGAAGAAACAATACAATTGTGCCCTATCTATTAGAACTGGCTTCCTTCTTTGTAGAATAAAGGCAATATAACTTCAAAATGCAGGGATTAACTTTATAAACAATCTCAGCGAGAAAGGGACAGCCAGCCTCATGCCTGCTTCGTTTACTTACTGTGTTCATTAGGAGTTTTTTTGCAACATGGAAGTTGATGTAGTTAATTATACTGAGAATTACTGATTATTTTTGATTTTATCTTTTTGGGGGTTGTATTGTATTGTAGTACTGTAACCTGGAAGTGAGATTACATACACATTCTAGCAAATAAATAATCACGATGGAAACATTAGTAAATGTCTTTTAAAGAGTAATAAAGTAAACACTCTAAATCATGCCATTCATTAAATTGTAAAATTGTAGAAAATGCCTTATTTTATCACTATTAAAAACTAAAGCTCGTAGTGTTTAAAAAATAGTTTCAGAACTTTAAAGTTTCAAAGCTGCTTTTTACAGTGGTTTGACTTTGAAATTTAATTCAAAAACAATGGCTGCAATTCTGTGATTCACTTGAGAGCAAATAATTTCAATTGCCAACATTTTGATAATTTATACACGAAAAACTTTGCTGGAATAATTTGCTCTGATTGTAATGATTGCATTCATCTGATTGGAGAAGTGGCTTGCAGTCATACTTAAGCAGAGGTAGAGGAAAACAATACTGAAACTATTATCAACTATTATACTACTTCTTGATTATATGTTTAGTCAAAATTGCTGTCAAAGGGTTGAACATGGTTTTTCCCCTGCAAATTTTTATAACGAGACACTTTAGTACACTTGATAGATACGTGGACTTTGAAAGATCACACTTAATGTCTCACAGATTTATTGCTGTTAAAATAATATTTCAATTAGGTTTTTAGTCTTATTTTGAGAGCAGTTTGTTTGGTTTTGGCAAAAGCAAATCACTGTATAAGATTGGATTCTTGATACTTTAAGCCCTTGTGTACTGTGTGGATGTATGTAAACTGTAGAATTTGTTTTGCACAAGACAAAGTAGGTGAAATAGAGCACATACAATTTTCTTTTATTTGATTTGGATCAAATCACACCTCTTCTTAACTCAGCTAATTTTCTGTATTTATAGTTTAAGGATACATTTATCTGCTTCATCAGACTTCTGTAACAATATTTGAAATAATCTCTGTAACACACTTTCTTGGATTCTCCATTACTAGTAAAATCTAACCAGCATTTTGTTTGTTTCAGAACTGCGTGTACAGTATCAGGTCTATACATGTATGCTTTTATTTTTTAACTGCTACGTTTTGACACTTTTCCCTTCTGGCATATGCAGAATATAATAAAATGCTTTATTTTAAGAAATTACACATGCCTTTAATATTTTTTTTCTTGCAGGCCTTTGGTTTTATGACCCGGGTGGCTCTTCAGGCTGAAAAGATGAATCACCATCCTGAGTGGTTTAATGTATACAATAAGGTAATGAATTAATATTAATGAACTAGTAGTTTATCTCTTTTCATTCGTGACTACCAGGATCTAATTATATTTCTAAACCCAACCCCCATAGATTAAAAATCAGAGCATTGTTCAGTCTTATTCTGTTTGTTGGACTCTTTTTCAAATTATTTCACTTTTGTTCTCCATTTTTTTGCAATGATTGCTTGGTTCCATGTTTACTTTTCCTCATATAGCTGGGGTTTGTTCATTGAAGTAATAGGAAAAATCCACAAACCCTTGTTTGACCAGCCTTGAAAGTATAATAATTCTATATTCCAGGCAGCGGCAACTTCATTATAGCAATAGCAATAGCAATAGCAGTTAGACTTATATACCACTTCATAGGGCTTTCAGCCCTCTCTAAGCGGTTTACAGAGTCAGCATATTGCCCCCACAGTCTGGGTCCTCATTTCACCCACCTCGGAAGGATGGAAGACTGAGTCAACCTTGAGCCGGTGAGAGTAGAACCACTGAACTGCAGATAACAGTCAGCTGAAGTGGCCTGCAGTACTGCACCCTAACCACTGCGCCACCTCGGCTCTTAATGCTTTTGTCTCAATGCTTTTGTCACAGTGCAGAAAGAAACATAACACTGAAGCTCCACCCCTTTGGGGGGTTGTGTGAATTTGTGATACATGCAAGAAATGAACAGGGCTTACATTGGGACATAACACTGCTTGTGTCACTCTGCCTTCCCCTTTTCCCTTATGCTCCCTGCAAATGCTCTTTATTCTGGTTGTGCCTAACTTTTGTGGACCATTCTTGACTTTTAAAATGTATACTGGACCTCATTCCAGAAAGTAGTGAACAGGGAGCAAGACAAAAAATAATATTTTTATTTACAATCACATTAAATTAAGTTAGAATTAATATGATTATTCTCCAAAATGGTATTTAATTATTTTCCCTTCTGCCATATATATGTTTTAATTTGGTAGCACATTTTTGAGATCTTTAGGAACTGATATTAGGTATTTGTGACTCTTGTTATTCAAACTTTGCAATCTGTTGGGAGCAGCTGATTTTTATTGGCTCTCCAGATTTATTAGCTCTTTTTTCCCCGTCCCCAGGAGCAGACCCTTTCAAAAGTAAAGACAAATAATAGTATTAGATATTCCTGCTTTCTGATATTGCAAATTAATTTTCCAAATTAAAAAGCCAAAAAATATTTTTGAAAACTCTAGATTTCAAAATGTATCTCCAGATTAAGTAATAAAATAAAATTTCTGAATGAGTATGCTGGTCTGCGAGGAACCAACCCCAAATGAAGATATTTTTACAGATCTTGAAATGTTCATATGGATAGACTCACAATTAGAATTTATCTGTCGGTTTATTAACAGTTCTCACTTCTTAATGAGAAATTCTTTCTTTTAAATCTCTACTTAACGTGATTTTAAACAAGATGTTTTTTGGCAACATGTGCAGACAGGAGTTTTGGTAACAATTTCTATTGTAACATTGTGTGTTTATTTCTTGATACTCCTGATACAGTTTTAATTTCTAAGAATTAGACTTAATCTTTTTCTCTTCCCCCCAGTAGCTCTGATGATACAAAGAAATTTAGCAAAGCAGAACATTGTGTTCTTCTAGAGATATGGGAATAATCCCTTGGAAGAAACATTAGAGCTGGTCTGCAAAATGTTGCCAGGCTTTTCATCTTTATTTTACACTGAACAGTTTCTCACCTGCAATTGGTTATAATCCAATTTTCTTGTGCTGCAAATATGTACAATTACTTTTAAAAGAAAATATAATGTCAATTGGACAGAATCCACTGTTAAAGGCAGCATTATATCTGGGACACTTTTTATCTTCTGAAGCCCAAAGAAGTAAATTGGGTCCTTGATAGTATGAATTCTGCCACTTGTGGGTTTGATCTCCTGGTTTCTTTGGATTGGAGGGGAGGGCATGAGGATATAATCAGTATCGCTTTGGATTTAGACATAATGCCTCTTGCCTTGAAAGAGGCAGTAGTCTTGTCTTCTCTTAAAGAGGCCTTCTGGCTATCTTTCACAATATTCACCAAGTTTCCAACCAGTCCTTCCATGTAAAATTGGTTTTTGACAGTGATAGCAAATCAGCTACAGAGAATCCTAAATGATATAGGATTTCGGTCAGTATTCAGCACCAAAACAGCATTGGTCACCTGGCTCAGTGCTTTTTGTTGGGACACTCAGTGGCATTCAGTACCATCAGGTCTGGTACCTTTTGGGACTGTCTGCATGGATTGGGAAACTGGAAACAGTTTTATGCTAATTCCTCTCCCAAGTGCCCAGTTTCATCTGGTATCATGGGAAGGTAGCCCTTTGCAAATTCCAATGTGGAGAGTCCCAGAACTCTCTCCCACGTTATTGGATACAGAATATATACATAACCATGAGTCATTTATCAGTTTGAAGTAAGATGTCACCAATATGTTGCTGTTATGCACCAGTTATGCATTGCCAACTAAAGATGTCATAGTAATCTTTAACTGGTGCCTGGATGCTGTGACAATTGGGTAAAATAACCTTGGGTTAAATTCTACTATGGTGGACTGGTTGGTATTTATCAATAGGTACCTTGGGAAAGTTGTCTAGGCTATTCACACTCCCCATCCCCCAAACCAAGTTGGTTTGTGACCTTGGATTTCTCCTGGATTCCCAGTTCTTCCTTAAACAGTAGATGGAAGCTGTGGCCAAGGGGAATTTTCTTCTAACTTTGGCTGGCATATCAATTGCATCTCTCCCAGGAATGAGATGCATGGCAACTGTAATTTATGCTGATCACTAACTAACTGGGCTATTGTAATACATTCAACATGGCATGGTTCTGCTTTTGGAACTGAGTTGGAGACTACAGCTATATCAAATCTCAGTAGCAGCCCTTTATTGAATTCTCTTCCCCTGAGAGATATCAAGCTTGATATTTTTCTGTGAATGATTTAAAATAGCCATGCTTCGATATAAGTTTGAACCCTCATTTATTTAGCACCGTTGATGTTTGATTATTGATAACTTTAATTTTTGTATTGTATATGGCCTAGTTATATCCCACCAGGGTCCATTATGTTTGGGGCATGCTATGACTAATGAAAATAAATAAATGGACTTTTTTTCTAGAGAAACGTTTGGCAAACGTGTTTGTTGTACAACTGTCTCCAAGTTCTGCCTATATCTGAGTGCTGAGATATAAAAAAAAATATCAGCACCATTCCAGTTTTCGAACAGCAGACAAGTGTTTTTTTAAACTAAATATACAAATGAAGATGTACTTGAGATTTTCATACTAAATCTAATCTGCAAGGAAATACATTAAATTATGAATGGTTATTAAAAATGTATTTAGTTGCAATTTTTGTTTGGGTGATGAACTTTTTATCTTTCTTCCTTCTTGTTCAAAGGTCCAGATAACACTCATTTCTCATGACTGTGGTGGTCTGACAAAGCGAGATGTCAAGCTGGCTCAATTTATTGACAAAGCTGCTGCGTCTTGTCTAACAACTGGGTGCTAAAGTAATCATAAACAAATTCTATAATTTGTTTATTTAGTCTTTTGCGGTAAAAATAGTTAATCCTCAATTTTCCCCATTCTTGCAGAAGCTTTTGCATATAGATACATAGAGGTTTGATCTAAAATGCTAGAATTGCTGCATTAAAAAGTTGAGTTGTTTGTTCTATGTTATCAGTGACAATTCCTCTGTGGTGATCTGTCTTCAGTAACACTGACCATTTAGGCAGGAATTCCTCTAAAGAAGAATGATTTGGGCTGATTAGTAGGTCAGGTTTGCATCTGAGTACCCTGTCCTGTGTTTCATCTTTTAGATTCTATACACAATGACAGTGGCACAGTTCAACGTGAACATCTGAATTTTTAGTCAAGAATTAATTTGTGTGTGTGTGAGAGAGAGAGTTTCCAGTAACCCTATATTAATATGCATAGTTGCAAGGTATATAGCTGAGAGAAAATTTCCCTTGCTGTAGGTATACAGATGCACTTTCCACTTGTTTAAACTTTCAGGTATTCTCTGGAATAAAATGACCACAATTGATTGTGTGACAAAAATCATGTAATGTTCTTGGAAATCTTGGTCAACATTATACAATAATTACAATGAATGTTAAAAAAAAAACACATGTTGGTGGTACTTTATATTGAGCTAAGCATGTTTGTCAGATTGATTCTATATGATTTCAACTTTTAGGCCAGATCCAAGAGGGATTCCCACTCTCCTGTTTCCTGAGGCACAGATCTGGCTCTTTCTAGATAAACAAGAGTCTTGGTGCAGCGTATTGTGGTAAAAAAACAGACTCTCCCCGAATGTGTCCCTTTTCTTTCATTTATTAAATTAAATTCTTGACCATTTATCATTTATTAAATTAAATTCTTTACCATTTATCATTTATTAAATTAAATTCTTGACCATTGATCATACTGATTGGAGGACTGTGTTCCAATCTCCTTGAGGGCAGCATTGGAGGAAGATGGTCTGAGCCAATTTTGAGCCTCCTTCCAGAAACAGGAGTAGTAGAAACAAGGCTTAAGAGTAGACCAAAAGTCTGATTTACTCAACAACCTACAGGAGAAAGAGGATTAAAAAAAAAATATTTTTCACGTTTAGTGTAGGCACACACATTTATAATTAAAACCAAACAGAAATCTTACTTATTATGGCTAAATAACAAGGAAATATCATTTCCTTGTCATGCTTAACTCTCTGCTTTAAGCCAAAATTCAGCTATTAAAGAGGCAGTTTACAGCTGAAGATTGATACTGGAAAAAGATATTTTTAACCTCTCTGATACAATGAATGCCATTTTTTCTCCTACGTATCCATCTGGAGGAAGTCACTTGGGACATTTCTTCGAAGGAGTTACATTGCTTTTCTCAATGGCACCAGAAGAGAATATGGAAAGAAAAATGATATTGTTCAGTCTCATAACCTGTGTATTTTGCCCCACTTTGTATGAGAAATGCTATGGAAAATGCAGTTAGAGTCTGAAGAGGATACAGCCTTAAAAGTAAAGTCGAAGCTCCTGATGCTACAGAATCTTCATCCAGAGATGGGCCTCACTCTTACTGGCTGAATTTGATGTTGCCCAGTTGGTGTAATCTACATCCTTACCTTGTTTAATTTTCTATATTTTAATTTGAATAAACAATTCATATTACTCTTTCTAAACTCTTGCCTCTGGTTTCTGATTCTGTTAATTCCATATGGTGCCTATTTTCCGTAATGATAAAAGTTTGTGAAAGTATTTTGATTGACATTTTTAAGTGGTCCCCAATACAAATGACACATGGTCCATGTTTTAATGGGTGCTATAAGACTGTCCATTGTTTTAGCTGAAAGACTATTTTTGGTGAAAAATCGCACCCTTCTGCACATGCTTCCCTAGAAATAAAACCTACTGTAGTTAGAACATGGATAAATTAAAAGTGTACTGGAGAATAATTCAACACACAGCCTTCTTTACAGATTTTGATGTATTCAACATAAAGGCCTTGAAAATAGATTTTAGCTAAGCATCCTTCAATAACTGAGAAGTCAGTTTCTATCCAGAAATCCTTTTCAGAATAAGGCACTGAATCCACAAAGGTCAGACTGAAACCTATCCTTGCAGGAATGGATGAATACATTAAATATTGGTGCTTGCATACATGCTCCCCTCTCCCACTTTTAGCCCTTCAAGTGTCCAAGTCAAAACCCGAATAAAAGCTTTAGATTTATTCTTTTGAAAAGATGTGTGTTAGTTTTGCACTCTTTAAAGAAATCAAGTACTTCCAATGATTTGTTTAAAGCCCTTGTCAAAGATATTTGTGTGGATTTTAAAATCTCTCAGAATTTCATTTTACATGTGGAAAAATCATGTTAATATTGAAGTTAAAATGCAGATAAACTTTCTGTAATTTCTTAATACTTTTTATTCAAATGACAAAAGCAGTTCTTTTAAAGGTAGTAATGGAAGGATGACTTCCAAGGTACATTATTCGGTTGTTTTTCGGAATTAATAAAGATATTGAACCCAACATTTAGATGAGAAGCAAGGAAGTCTTATTTGAAGCTACAGAAATGGATTTATTGCAGTTAATGCTACAAAAGACAATATGTTGCAAAACATTATGTTAGAGGTACCAATAATTATGGCTGGATTTGAACACTCCTAGTCTAATTTTATGAAGTTTTGATGACTTCATAAGTCAATGTTTCTCAACTCCCAGAATTCCCATATTTATGACAGTTGCAGCAACCCAGGGTCATGTGATTGCCATTTGCAACCTACTCAGCTAAGCAAAGTCAGCGGGAGAAGCTGAATTTGTTTAATGACCACATGATTCACTAAGCAACTGCCCTGATTTGCTTAATAACTGGCAAAAAGGTCATAAAATTGGATGTGGCTCACTTAACTGCCTTGCTTAGTGATGGAAATGCTGGTCTCAATTGTGGTGATAAATCAATGACTACCTATAATTCGCTTTACATGAAGCTTTAAGGACTACTTGCAAACTTTAGTTAGGACAAAGTGTGGGCCTTGTACTCATTGAACAGTGTCATTATTAGCATATTACACTACCCTCTGAAAGCTATACTGGCTTCAATGGGTTGCTAAATTTTACCCCTCCTTTGTTAACTCTTCATAAGATTAACTTTTGCTTTCCTCTTCTTTTCCTGGAGAGGAGGAGGAAGAGGAAAACCTTTTCTAAGCCTTCTGAAAAGCGAGCTCCTTGGTTGAGTTTTTTCACTATTCCTTCTGTTTCTTCCAATGTGGGTTTTGTCTTTTCACAAACCAATCCACTCTACAAATTTTCATTTCTGATCCTACTTGCTTCTGCTGGGTTATCAGTTACACAGTCCTCCTTCCTCTGAGGACCCTTTACCTCAGGTGTCAAACTCATGTCGTCATGGCATCGTCATGTGACATATCATGACTTTTTCCCCCTTAGCTAAACTGGGCGTGGGAGTGGACAGCGTATGATGCATTGGGGCCATGGGTTTGACACCCCTGCTCTAACTGTTCAATTGCTCTTGATAAATGCTTAAAACCTCCAATCAAGAAAGAAGCACACAAAACAAACAGACGTGTTTTATCTGACAAATCTGTCCTTTTTGTATTCAAAGGCAGACATGCCTTTAATAAGATTTAATACTTTTACTTACTTTACTTTACTTTAATAAGATTTGTATGCCGCCCACTCCCTTGGGACTCTGGGCGGCTCACAACAAAAGTAAAAACATATAAAACATTTAAAAATACAATTGTTAAAATTAATCTATCATCCATTCAATCAAATGGGGCTGGATATTCATCAACAGCCCCATGCCTGCCGGAACAGCCAGGTCTTGGTTGCTTTAGTCAACCTTAGCCGGTGAGATTTGAACTGCTGAACTGCAGATAACAGTCAGCTGAAGTGGCCTGCAGTACTGCACCCTAACCACTGCGCCACCTTGGCATTGTCTGGTCAATGGCATCCGGAGGAGGCCCAATCTGTGTGATCTTATTGGTCGTTGGGAGGTGAATGGCAGGAGACGGTCTCTCAGGTAGCCAGGTCCAATACCATGTAGGGCTTTAAAAGTAATGACTAGCACCTTGAAGCGGGTCCGGAGACCAATGGGGAGCCAATGCAGCTCGTGGAGGATAGGTGTAACATGGGTGTATCTAGGTACACCCATTATCACTCACGCGGCTGCATTCTGGACCAACTGCAGTCTTCGAACACTCTTCAGGGGCAGCCCCATGCCTGCTTACAATTGCCTTAAATTAAGCCAAGAAGTTTTTTAGTTGCCTCTGTTGCACTTTTCATGCAACAGGTAACTAGACAAAATCGTAACCTCAAGAAGGTCATAACCTAGTTACATCTTAGTCATGTCACCTCAGACTATCATAGACTTGAACAAATTACTAATTTCAAGGTAGGAACTGCAAATTCTAAAAAGCAGGCAAATTGTTTTGTGCAAACAATTGTACTGAATCATTTTCCTCTATACATTGACATTAATCATTTCCTTTAAAGTATTCGTACTAGAAATAAAAAAAAATTACAGCACTATCAAAATGATAGGAACATTTAATGTGCTTTCCTCTAAACCAGGGGTGTCAAACTCATTGCCTGCTGGCCATGCGTACCTCTCAGCGAAGGGGAAAAAAGTCACGATATGTCATGTGACAATGTGACACCGCAAGTTTGACACCCCTGCTCTAAACTGTCAAAAGCCCAAGGAGCAGATCTTAGATTTTGCATACGCTGTTCTAAAATTGTGAGGTCACAGCGAGGTCATATTGGCACTTTCATTCTTCTCCAGATAGACTTTCTCTTAATTTACAGTTCTGATTGTGAAAAGATAAGCACAGTTCATATTCTGGGAAGCATGCTATGGATTCTTCAGAATTACCTGAAAAATTTCGTCTGACTGACAAGCTCTCATTTGAGGCATTTAAGTCTGGATCTGAACTTGAAATTGCACGCTATGTGTTTGGATACCGGTAAGATTTCAGCCAGGATTTTTTGTTTTTGTTTTATATCACATCTGGAAATTGTTTCCTGAAATTTTGAATTGCACATTACTCAAAACTATATTTTAATAATTTATTATATTTTTGAATGCCATGTTGATGGAATGGTGTACTTCTCATTATTTTTAGCCTACATAAAAAAGGTTTTTAATTTGATGAAATCCATTTTTCTTTCAAAATTCCTTTCAAAAGAGATTGTTAATGAATTTTAATGAATGTAATGAAATTTAATTTTGACCTGAAAACAGGTCAAGAATGAAACATGTTACTTAGTTCTATATGTGAATACTGCGTTATGCTGTAGAATACTTTCTCCAACAGCTTCCAGCCTTCCTGGATTTTCATACTTTGTTTAATTCTCTAGATAAGACATTGAAGAAGTTGACCTTTTCCAATTGGGCTTTTTCAAACATAGTAGGGAGCCGGAGAGGCTTCAGAGTGATGGGAAGGCACATAATGGAAAAGGACAGCAGCGGGCACTAGGAGAATGTCAACTACAGGAGAGCCTTCTCAGTAGTAGCTCCGACCCTTTGGAACGATCTCCCCGTGGAGATTCGTACCCTCACCACCGTCCAGGCCTTCCGCACAGCCCTCAAGACCTGGCTAGCCCGTCAGGCCTGGGGACAAAGATAATTGCCCCCACCCGAATGATGAATGAATGTTGCTTATTATTTTACTCTATGTATTGTATGTGTTATTGTTTGTATATCCCCTTCCCTCATTTTATGTAAGCCGCCCTGAGTCCCCTCAGGGAAAAGGGCGGCCTATAAGTATTAATAAATACTCAAATACTCAAATACAGCACTAAAAAAAGTTCAAAAGCACCAGCAATAAAAATTTGGAATAAATTCTCATACACTTTAATAGGGTAAAAAGCTGCTTTTTCAGAAGGAGGAAAACTTTAGAGTATTAAACAAGAAGCAATGGATGGAAAGTAATCAAGGAGAGATCCAACCTTGAAATAAGGAGAAATTTCCTGACATTTAGAATAATTAATCAGTGGAATGACTTGCCTTCAGAAGTTGTGAGTGCTCCATTACTGGAAGTTTTTAAGAACAAATTGGGTAGCCATTTTTCTGGAATGGTATAGGGTCTCTTGCTTAAACGGATCGGAGTGGAAAATCTTCCTTACTTTCCAACT